TAAAAAAAACTGCAAATTTGGGTATAAAAGGAGCATCTTAGAATTTGTATGCGCCAAAATCATGAGAGGATTGTCAGACACATAAAAAAAAAATAATTTCTTAGATGCAAAATTTGCTAAGAATTTAAGTCTTTCATCAACTATCACATTGCTTTTACAATGTAGATTGTGTCAAAGCAGCTTAACATAGAAATGCTAGTAAATTGAAACTGTGTCAGTCCAGTTTTCGGAGTTGAAGTTCACTTTAGTTCAGTTCAGCGTGGTTTACTTTTCACTGCTGAAAGTCCAAACACTGAAGAGCAAATCCAAAGAGAATTCTAAGTCTGTGGAGAAAGCTACAATGTACATTTCTTTTCTCTGCACTGATGCTGTTAGGTTGCTTGTATGTTGGGGTTTCTGAGAAAAATGAACGTTGAGTTCTCAAATACCATGTAACCATTCGGACATCTAGCCAGGTAAACTGCATATTCAGGAATAACATGAATTCTACAGTGACACATACTGCCTTCAAGATTTTATCTTTTATGGCCAGCCTGCAGTCCTGATATGTATCTTATTGAAAATGTATGGCCCTCATGAATAGGAGAATGTTAAGCAGCTAATGAGCAGCTGAAGTCTTGTGTCAGGTCAGGCTGGGCAAAATTTGTATTCTTATTCCTCAAACAATTAAAAGGTTAGTAAAGCCAAAAAAAGAAAATTATACTCAGCCTTGTGCTGTTGCAATCAACCCGAGACCTTTGTTTGTTTTCAGAACACAAATTAAGATAATTTAGATGAACTCTGAGAGCTTTTTCAACCTCAAGACAGCAACAGCCAAAATCCAGAAAAAGCAACCTGAACATTGTCAAAACATTCCATGTGACTTTAGTGGTTCATTTGTAACACAGCTACAAGAACGCTTTAGTGCACAAAAATAAAAAAAATCTTAAGGTCAGGGTATTCATTTCCTAGCAATGAGTCTTTTTACATTTACTTTATTCAGTTTTACAGTGTTTTTAGAGCTTTTTCTTGACATTTTCACTCAAAATTAGTTGAAAAGTTTGTGTCTGTTTCCTGATAAATATAAATAAAACATGCGGCTCACTACTTCTATCAGCAATTTAACAGATCAATGTACCAAGTAAAAAAAATTTAATGCAAGGGTGCTGTGCAAATTTGGGTTTGGATGAGCTATTTTTTCGTTCATTCATTCATTTTCTTTTCAGCTTAGTCCCTTTATTAATCTGGGCTCGCCACAGCGGAATAAACCTTTAACTTATCCAGCATATGTTTTACACAGCAGATGCCCTTCCAGCTGCAACCCATCTCTGGGAAGCATCCATACACACTCATACATTATGGACAATCTAGCCTACCTAATTCACCTGTACCGCATGTCTTTGGACTGTGGGGGAAACCGGAGCACCCAGAGGAAACCCACGCCAACATAGGGAGAACATGCCAACTCCGCACAGAAGTACCAACTAACCCAGCCGAGGCTCAAACCTTGCTGTGAGGCAACAGCACTACCTACTGAGCCACTGTATTGCCCAACCTAACTATAATGTAATGCAATTGAAATTCTAATTAAAAAGAAAGTTGATGTGACATCTTGTTAAACATGCCTCTGTTCCAACTTTATTGGAGTTTGTTGCAGCCATTAAATAATAAAAAAAAAATGTTTACAGAATAATATACAATGTGCTCAGTGGAGCGGTGGCTAAATGGTTAGCACTGTCACCTTACAGCAAGAAGGTTGCTAGTTCGAGTCCCGGCTAGGTCAGTTGGCATTTCTGTGTGGAGTTTGCAGTTCATTTAAAGGGAAAGTGAATCCAATAATGTAAATTTACTCACTGTTTACTCACTCTCAAGTGGTTCCAAGCCTTTGTTTCTTTCTTGTGAAATTTTGAAGAAAGCAGAAAACCTGCACCCATTCACCTCCATAGTATGAAAAACACATACTATGGTGGTCAATAGTTTCCAGGTTTCCGGTAGTCTTCAGAATATCTTCTGGCATTTTTAACAGAAGAAAGAAACTCGTTCACGTTTGGAACAAATAAAAGGTGAGTAAATGTGACAGAACTTTATTTTTTTTAATGGGATCTTTGATTATATAAATTCAGCCTTGATGAACACTAGACACGTTTTTCTAAAGCATTGAAAATCTTCTCCACAATGCATGTACGGGATACATTTAGTAAATGCTGAAATTTAAGACACTGCATTATTTTCACACACAGATGCAATAGTTTCCAAGCAATGTATCACTCATGCTAAAGGAATGAAGGTTTTGCTTTGACAGTTGGGCATGCAGTCAGCATGCCTGTTTTCCCACAAGACACAGTGCAGGGGGTGGGATGTTATCACCAGCCGCAAATGCTTTAGTATTTCTTAATTCCAAAAAAATCTGAATTATAGTCTATATTCTTAAAAAAAAAATAAATAAATAAATAATTTATATATATATAAATATATATATATATATATATATATATATATATATATATATATATATATATATATATATATATATATATATATATATATATATATATATATATATATATATATATATAGTCAGAATTATTAGCCCCCCTGAGTTATTAGAACCCCTGTTTATTTTCCCCCAATTTCTATTCTACGGAGAGACGATTTTTTCAACACATTTACACATTTCTAAACATAATAGTTTTAATAACTGATTTCTAATAACTGATTTATTTTATCTTTGCCAAGATGACAGTAAATAATATTTTACTGGGGCTAATAATTTTGTCCTTAAAATGGTGTTTAAAAAATTAAGGACTGTTTTTATTCTAGCTGAAATAAAACAAATAAGACTTTCTCCAAAAGGAAAAATATTATCAGACACGCTGTGAAAATTTCCTTGCTCTGTTAAACATCATTTGGGAAATATTTAAAAAAGAAGAAAAAAATCAAAGGGGGGCTAATAATTCTGACTTCAACTGTATATATATATATATATATGTGTATGTGTGTGTGTGTGTGTGTGTGTGTGTGCGTGTGTGTGTGTGTGTGTGTGTGTGTGTGTGTGTGTGTGTGTGTGGGTGGGTGTGTGTGTGTGTGTGTGTGTGTGTGTGTGTGTGTGTGTGGAAAGAGACTTATTAGAGTGATATTTATATAATACTTGCTAATCATTTCAGTGTCTTAATAATGACAAACAAATTTTAATAATAATCCTCAGGCTACTGTGGCTTCATTTCATGAGAAGAGAATCTACTTCTGTTCTAGTGAATTTGCCAACTCCACAGGCAAGTTGGAGGCACTGAATGTTCAAATATCTGCAAGGAATATTCTATTTTTACTCTATTTCTTCCATAGTTACATTTGAGCATGGCCAGACCCTGTTGTGTAACGAACAAATGGTCCCTCATTAAGATTTAGTATGGCTTTTATATAATAATAAAACATGAAAAAAAGACCAGTGCGCTCGATATAAAAGCTCTGAATGACTGCAGTGAATCACTCTGTAATGTTATTGTTAAGGTTGAACCCTGATTCATGGACTCATTCTCAACTTCCCCTCCATTGTCATGAGGCAGAAGCAGACAACCGCAGGAAATTCCCCCCTGCCCCTCTTATTAGCCCGTCTCTTGTCTAATCCTGCTGCGCCTGAGGTGCAATTACATAATGTACTCATATTGTCCACATGTACAAGTACTGAGCCACAAGCAATTGAGTTTGTCTTTCAACACGCTCTTGTATTTTGAAAAGTTTTAAAAGTCAAAGTTCAGGAATTTGTGACTTATATCCATCTGAAGCATCTTAAACCTCCACAAAATGTATTATGCAACTCTCACGGAGGAGTATGTGATGCTGACTACACATTTTCTTTATTGTAGCTCTCTGTTTTGTAGTGGGATCCCCTGATATGAATATCTTCGCTGATTATGATAACCGATATACCGATAATAAAATGTTGTATGTTAATTATTCTTAGTATACTTTAAAAACTAAATTTAAATGAAAAGCAGAAAGCTGCAAAATAGCAAGGAAACATCTAAACTGCAGTTAAGTGAAATTGTAATTATGAAATCCTTTGTTTTTCAGGATGAAACCTTCCCACATTGCCCATATTGTGTCCCCTTATAACATAAACTCTTTAAAATTTATATCTGCTGAAATAATACATATTTACAGATTGATAATTTAGTTTTAGTTTCTTATCGGGCCGATGAAAAGTAACATCCAAAATAAGCATTTATTGGCTGATATAACATATACACTACCGGTCAAAATATGGGGTCAGTAGGATTTTTAAATGTTTTATTTAAAACTGGCCCAAATCCGTGCCATGTTTGGCCCACATGCTGTATGCCAGTGCCGGATGAATTAATATTTTCCACAGAGAGATTGATTTGAGGTAGCCTGCTATTTTTTTTTGACGGAAGAAAACACAAAACAAATGATTGGACATACAGCATATGCCAATTCTTAAAAAGTATTCACTCGGTGTTTTCGTTTTGTAATCTAAATTTGTCATTTAAGTGAAAAATATCTAGGGCAAGACTATTTAGTTTATTTTTTTTATTTAGTTTAATCCGTTTTTCTACGCTGTTGGAAACATTGCAGGTGCGTGAAGATGCTCTGCTATGTTTTGTTGTTGATATGTTTGCTTGTTAAAATAAATCAGTAAATTAAAATGCAATATTTAATGTATCACACAATATAGACACATCAAATATCAAATAATAATTTAATATTAATCTGACCAGTTAATATTCGGTTAACGAGCAGCAGTTGTCAGTTGGTAAAACTAACCAAAATGACCATCTCTACTTCTAAACTTAAGTTTTTCAGTCTAAAAGAAAAGTTTAAAGTTTATTTATTAGGAATGTGGCTAGTTTTTAGGCTACTTTGAGATTCGAGTTTAGTTGAATGCTGTAAATAAAAAAAAACAAGCTGTACATGTTTTTAATATTATTCATTTGAAGCTTTCCTTTTTCTGTGGCTATTATTGTCAAATTAAACATATTGATGTCCTATTTGTCTCCAAACAGTGCCGGAAGATCTTTCCTTTGAAGAGAGAGATGAACTGTCCAATATTAGAAGGAGGAAAAGGGAGCTACTGGATGACATTGAGGTAGTTTCCTTTAAAGTCATTAGTGCAATCTTTAGTCTAATCTTTTAAAGTCATTGAGATATCTCAGCGATTGACATTTATCATGTCACCCTGACTGCATTTTCTTCTTAACAGAAGCTGAGCGTCACTTATTGTTAAAAGTGTTTTACTATACAAGATCTCTGATAAACCTTATTAAGTTAAGTGACCATTTTTCTGTGATCCTTGCAGCGGTTAAAATTAGAGATCTCTGAAGTCATGACCGAGATTGAACATTTAACGTGTGTCAGAGAGACGTGAGTTCCTTTTTGTGTTACATATTATTAAGCTGGGTTCAGTATTGAGATACATAAAATATCAATTTGTATTTGTTATTTTAATATCAGAACTTTATTGTTTATCGTCACATTACAGTAAAAGCACTCAGAGGAGCAAGCAGATTGCTGTTGGAAGAAAGAAATTCAATATGGACCCTAAGAAGGTATTGTTACTAAAAGATCTTGATTCATGTAGAATATGGGTCAAGTATTATTTTCAGTTTGAGCAAACATCATGAAGTGGTTAATATCTCCAACGTTGTTGCAGGGAATCCAATTTCTTTTGGAGAATGATCTTCTGCAGCACACACCTGAGGACATCGCTCAGTTCCTCTATAAAGGTGAAGGCTTGAACAAAACTGTCATAGGAGATTATTTAGGAGAACGGTAAGTCACATGCCTCTCGCTCACAAGACTAGTCTTTCTGCATTGTATATGTGTGTTGTTAGATAAGGCCTTTCCATAAAGATCCTGTTTGCTCTCTCAGGAAATTACTTCTCCATTTGAAGCAGCTGAAAATAATCACAAGTCTCCAAAACAATATTTAGCATGTGGCCCAGACAGAATACTGGTGTTTTATCTCAGCCTTACACTCATCTCTCAACACATGATTTGATAGAAAACATTATTATTTGTCTGAAACAGAAACACAATGCAACACCTGTCAACGGGGAGTAAAATGAACACTTTAGCCAAGCACTAAATGCATTTAAAATTATTGACATTTGTTTATATATCAATTTTATCAGTTGGCATCCGCTGTGTAAAATATATGCTGGATAAATTGGCGGTTCATTCAAGGGACTAAGCCAAAGGAAAATAAAAATGAATTATTTAAAAAAATATCCCTTTATTAATATTTTATATATATATATATATATATATATATATATATATATATATATATATATATATATATATATATATATATATATATATTCTTTCATTCATTCATTTTCTTGTCGGCTTAGTCCCTTTATTGACCCGGGGTCGCCACAGCGTAATGAACCGCCAACTTATCCAGCGCATTTTTTTTGCAGCGGATGCCCTTCCAGCCACAACCCATCCCTGGGAAGCATCCACTCATTCACAAACACTCATACACTACGAACAATTTAGCCTACCCAATTCACCTGTACCGCATGTCTTTGGGCTGTGGGGGAAACCGGAGCACCCGGAGGAAACCCACGCGAACGTGCAAAACTCCACACAGAAAGAAACTCCAACTGAGCTGAGGTTCGAATATATATATATATAGGTAGTTTGGTAGGTAGGTAGGTAGGTAGGTAGGCAGACAGAGATAGATAGATAGATAGATAGATAGATAGATAGATAGATAGATAGATAGATAGATAGATAGATAGATAGATAGATAGATAGATAGATAGATAGATAGATAGATAGATAGATAGATAGATAGATAGATAGATAGATAGATAGATTAAAGCAGTTTATACATAGATAGATAGATAGATAGATAGATAGATAGATAGATAGATAGATAGATAGATAGATAGATAGATAGATAGATAGATAGATAGATAGATAGATAGATAGATAGATAGATAGATAGATAGATAGATAGATAGATAGATAGATAGATAGATTGATTGATTGATTGATTGATTGACTGATTGATTGATTGATTGATTGATTGATTTGCAGAGCAATCCAAAGTTATGGTAAAAAAACAGGCAAATGGTCGGTATGGGTAGCAATGAATCAAAAAGATAGAACAAGACAAAGGGTCAAAACACCGGAAGACTAAACAAGGAAAATGCCCATTTCACAGTACAGTTAAACAAATAAACAAGACTCAGAAACCGATGTGTGTGTCTGTGCTGCTTTTGAAGTTCATGTAATCAGGAAGCCTGGACCGCTGATGATTGTGACAGCTGGATGGATGGATGGATAGATAGAAATAATTTAATTATTTATTATTGTTTTGTATTACTTTTATGAAAATAAAAGCTAACATCATTACAGAATTATTGATTAGGTCTTTTCAACTATACATTGTGAGTACTGAAATAATAATAAAAAAATTGTTGAAATTACATCTTGTTTCCCCAATTATAAAGCATTCATGCACAGAGTTCAGTGGCCATAAACAAGGCATTTATATCTAGGAGGTTTTTTTATGGCAAAATATTTTAGGTCTTCTCCATCAATATCAAGGCCAGGAAAAGTGTAATTGAAGCCATACAGATCTACTACAACTTAGATTCTCAACATTACCCCCTGAGGCAGATTTACTGAATACCAAGACAAAAAGGAGAGCCTAAGCTTGATCCACAGTGCAGTAGTTGTTTGATTCAAAAATAGCATTGTCTACGTAGGCATTCTGTCATACTTGATAACTGTTTCTTAGCTTTGCTTTAGCCTGAAACTGAAATAAAACCATTTCATTTTTCTACATAAGAGTGTGGGGATAAAACTACACATAGCTTTAACTGGTAATTGCATTTATGAGGAGGGGTTGGAAGCTGTAATTATTATGATTAATTAACCTTAATAAAGGAGTCTTTTTCAGACCTCACTTGTGTAATCAAGCCTGTGCTGTAGATTTCTTTTGTTCATGCAATGTTGGGATTGAGGATGTACAATGCACAGCATAAAATGAGTACACCCTTTTTTAAAAACTAATATTTTTATCAATTTTTCGGTAACAGACAAAACAGTATTGGTGCATTTAAACTAAATGGTTTTATCAAACAGTTACATTAATCACAATAGAGGTTGGTCACACAACATTATTAATATTTAAATTATGTTTCTAAAATGTAAAAAAAAATTAGAAAGATAATACATTTAAGTTCAAATGAGGTGTTGCAAAACAAAATTACAAACTACAACATGTAATATATATATGTGTGTGTGTGTGTGTGTGTGTGTGTGTGTGTGTGTGTGTGTGTGTGTGTGTGTGTGTGTGTGTGTGTGTGTGTGTGTGTGTGTGTGTGTGTGTATATATTAAATTAGGTTAATTAATTAAAAAGGTTAAATTAGCTCTAGTTTTGGTTTTCGTACTGATTAATGTAATGTACAGTTGAAGTCAGAATTATTAGCCCCCCTGAATTATTAGCCTTCTTGTTTATTTTTTTCCCAATTTCTGTTTAACGGAGAGAAGATTTTTAAACACATTTCTAATCATAATGATTTTAATAACTCATTTTTAATAACCGATTTATTTATCTTTGCCATTATGATAGTAAATAATATTTGACTATGTGTTTCAAGACATTTTTATACAGCTTTAAGTGACATTCAAAGCCTTAATTAGGTTAACTAGGCAGGTTAGGGTTATTAGGCAAGTTATTTTATAGTGATAGTTTGTTCTATAGATCATCGAGAAAAAATATAGCTAAAAGGGGCTAATAATTTTGTCCCTAAAATGGTGTTTAAAAAAATTAAAAACTGTTTTTTTTCTAGCTGAAATAAAACAAATAAGACTTTCTCCAGAAGAAAAAGTATTATCAGACATACACTCTCAGAAATAAAGGTACAAAAGCTGTCACTGTGGTGGTACCCTTTTAAAAGTGCACTTTTGTATACCTAAACGGTACACTTTTGTACTTAAAAAGTTCACAATGATACCTTAAAGGTACACTTTTGTCCTTTATGTACTAATATATATATACATTGAAGATGCAAGTGTGGACCTTTAAGGTACCAAAGTGTATCTTTTAAAAAGGTACCACCCCAGTGACAGCTTTTGTACCTTTATTTCTGAGAGTGTACTGTGAAAATGTCCTTGCTCTGTTAAACATCGTTAGGGAAATATTTAAAAAAAAAAAAAAAAAAGGAAAAAAAATCAAAGGGGGCTAATAATTCTGACTTCAACTGTATATAGACTTGTTTTTAATTATCTGTAAGAGGTTCATATCAGGCACTGTACTTGTTAGATTGAAATGATATGCAAAAAAACATGGTCTTGTTTATGGTGTTTGTTCCTAAGCAGACTTTTTAAAAGAGCTTATGAACTCCTTAACATACTGCAGTCTAAACTGTCTTTTGATTGACCTCAGATAAACTTTGTATCTGTGGAGAGGGAGCTTAGAACAAATGAAGAAGTAACTATGCTGATTAAACCTTTTTCTCATTATTTTTAGAGATGACTTCAACATTAGGGTTTTGCAGGCATTTGTGGAGCTTCATGAGTTTGCTGACCTCAACTTGGTGCAAGCATTGAGGTAAGACATCTGTTTTCTCCAACTTACATTTAACTGCAAACACCACAGTATGGACACCTTGTAAGACCTGTATAATATTTAAATTAAATTAGATTTTTTATTATGATTTTGTCTGTGATTAAACACAATTAATCTCTTATATAAAAATGTAAAAATGAATTCAAAAGAAGTGTAATGCCTACTTTAATTTTAAAAGTTCTGATGAATTAAGGTACAATAACACTTAAAAAAACAACTGTTGTGTTTTTACAGCAGTATTCCCTTTACCTATTTATACATTAAATATAACTTAGGGTGCTTTCACACCTACACTTTTGTTTCGGAACGTGTCTCGTTTGCCCAGTTAGCACGGTTTGTTTGGCATATGTGAACAGGGCAATCGCGCTCTGTTCCGCGCCAAAGTAATCGCTCCGAGATCGCTTGAATGAGGTGGTCTCGGCTCGATTGAATCGAACCCTGGAGCGGTTCGATTACAGTGAGAAAACGATCCGATCCGAGCGCGGTTATATCACAGTGTTTTATGGATATTTAATAGGCTTACAGCGATATGAAGAGAGAATTATGAGTATGGCGGGAAGTTTCGCGAGTCTCCGGATGCCCGCAAACGAGTGATGATCTCCCGGTAATCTCGCGTCTCCCTCCCGGTCCTCAAATAGGCTACGTCGCGCACCCTTCTCACCCCTCCCCACCGCATCTCTCCTCAGACACATAGCGCGCGCACACCCTGTCAATCACCACCAAACCACCACCTCTCCTGACAGCTGAGCGGGACGCTGCAAAATAAACCCTGACACTCTGACCAATGTGAGGAGAGTTTACTCGCGCGTGACTTGTTTTAGCCCTTTTGGTCCGATTAGAAACTTTGCAGTGTGAAAGCGAACTGCTCCAAGAGCAAAGAGCTGCAATGTAACAATTGTAATCTCTGTTTCGGAACAACTGAATCGATTCACAGGTGTGAAAGCACCCTAAAAATAACCCTTTAACTGCCCCACCAAGAAAAAAGTTCTTCTTTCTTAACTCCTAATGTCGCTAGTTAACACACTCAGCCCATCAACGCAAAACACATCCCATAGTTTCTAAAATATAAACCTCTACCAAATGGTAGATATGTCGGTTTATAAAAGTACCAGAATTAATACATACTGTATACTATGAAAAATCAGAAAATATGAAGTGTAATACCAATTTATTTAAAAACATCATTAAAATAAAACATTTTTGAATACTAAATCACCTTTATTTTTTGAAGATTCTCATTTTCAAATTCTCATTTAACGTATTTAGTAGTGCAACAGGAATATTATGTTTGTAACATTTTGTAAACCAACAATGCTATGTAGTGTAAATGATTATTTAAAACAGTCATTCTTTAAGTGACTCTGACAGTCTTTTTTTTTTTTTTAAAGTGTTCAACCATTTGATAGAGCTCACAGTTAAATGGTTAATATTAAATCCAAAACTAATGTTATTTGCTACTTGGTGATAATTAAGTGATCAGTACATCAATGGTTCTCAGTACCTTTCCTTGCACCACACTGCTTTTAGATAACTTGATAGATGTGTTTAGACATTGACAGAATTGAGCAACACCCCTGCAAGTTGCAATACATACAAGTGTATTGCATGTGTATTAAACACATTTTAGTTAAAAAGTTTACATATAGTTGATGTCAGAATTATTTTTTGAAGTCAGAAAATTTGTTCAATACATTTCTAAACATAATAGTTTTAATAACTCATCTCTACTAACTGATTTGTTTTATCTTTACCATGATGACAGTAAATAATATTTGACTAGATATTTTTCAAGACACTTCTACACAGCTTAAAGTGACATTTAAAGGCTTTTAACTATTGGTTAATTATGTTTACGAGACAGGTTAAGGTAATTAGGCAAGTTATCGAATAAAGATGGTTTGTTCTGTAGATCAAAAAAAATGCTTTATATTATAGGGGTTTATAATTTTGACCTTAAAATGGTGTTTAAAAAATTAAAAATGGCTTTTATTCTAGCTGAAATGTAACAAATAAGACTTTCTCCAAAAGAAAAAAATATTATCAGAACTGCTGTGAAAATTTCTCTGCTCTGTTAAACATCATTTGGGAAATATTTAAAAAAGAAACAAATACTCAAAGGGCGGCTAATAATTCTAATTTCAACTGTATAATAATAAAAGCTACATTATTGTGATAAAATAATTTTCAGCTTTAATTAACGTTAACTTGCCCAGCCCTAATTTAAATATACACAACCTAGCCCTAATATTTTTCAAGCAATTTGTTTTGGCATGTGAAGAAATAAGTAATGAATGAAATAACCTGTTTTGTTTATTTATTTTATTTTTTTGTTTGTTTGTTTGTTTTATTTCATTAAAGGATGACTTATTAAAACGTGTTTTATTCCGAGACGAATAAGTGTTTTTGAATAAATCTCTTTAATGTATATCGTTATTCAAGCTGTAAAGTTACCTCAAGAGAAGATTTTATTTATTTTGTCACTAATATATAAGTGCATTTATATGTGAAGATCCACTGTCATCAAAGGTTTAATAGACATATTTGAATCATTCATTTTTAAAGAGACTTAATCATGCGTCTCTGCTTTTAATGATTGCTTGAGACCCTCGAGGTTTATCAAAGAACCATTAGGATTTTAAATGCAGTTCTTTCTTCCTTACAGGCAGTTTTTGTGGAGCTTCAGACTTCCCGGTGAAGCACAAAAGATTGATCGAATGATGGAGGCCTATGCTGCTCGATATTGCCAGTGTAACCCTGGTGTCTTTCAGTCAACAGGTATTACTTTGGAAGTACTTCGACTTTTACCTGAACTCCTCTTTGTAGCCTATCATTGCCCTAGAACTATTAGTAAGCCTTAAAAAATATTCACAAAATAACATGTTAAAAATTAAATAGTTTGCATACAGTGCCAATTCTCATGAATTGCAGCAATCTAGTATCTCTAAGGGAAGGTAGGTCTTTTGAATGTCTTAAAATACAGCTTTCTTTATAAAGGCCCTAAATTCTTTAAAAGCCTTGATTCAGGTTTGATAGGTCTTAAATATTTTTAACACGTCAACACAAAACAGTTTCTCCAGTCTGACTGACTCGATGACAGTTTACGATTATTGGACAGACCAAACTTTTTTTCCCTACAGTAGCTCATCCTGGAGTGCTAAAAACATGATAGTTTTAAATGTAGTGACCTTTTTTGTATTAAAAATCTCACTGATAGAGCATAAGTAAAGGCTGCTTGTCGATTTGTGAGATAAAAATGAAAGTCATGATAATCATGTTTCTATGAAATAACTAATGACTCAAGTAACCGAAACAGAAATCCAGAAGCAGAACAGAAAGTTTTATTTCGATTTTACCAAATACTAAAATAAATCAGTGAATTTCCTCCACCTCTTCCCCAGAAAAATAATTACATTGTGAAAAATGTCTTTTTTTAATAAAAAAATTTTGTCAAATAAAAGGCTTATGTAAACAACTGTATTTAGTTTGTTTTAGCACATTTAAAATGTGTGGCTAAGAAATAACCATGTACATTTGTTGGTGGGTCCAGATAAAATTTTGTCAGAACTATAGAGTGGGGGAAATAAGTATCGAACATGTCATCATTTTTCCCAGAAAACATATTTCTAAAGGAGCTGTTGACTTGAAATTCTAAATTTCACCAGAAACCCGTATATGCAAAGAAAACGAAACTACTTAGTTTACAAATGAGGTTATGTGTAAAATAAAAATTAAATGAGAGGGAAAAAATATTGGTATCACTTAATTTTGATGGTCTCATTTTGTTAAATTTAAGTTACATTGCATCTACATGCCAACTAGTTTTCAATTATAGAATGACTGTTGGGTTGAGGTTAGGATTAGAGTTAGTGTAAGTTGACACATACTTGCAAAGTTTCCTATAGTCAGTTAAGTGTCTGTTGAAGGAGCAGTATCAGCAGATATTAAGCAGACAGTCTACTAATACTCAAATGGACCATCAAAATAAAGTGTTACCAAAGTGGTAATCACATGAGGAAAGGGAGGTGAAGAAATTCAGTGAAAGCCTAGACAGCAGCTGAAATCTCTCAGTAGTTAATCAGCAATTCTCTGCCCTTCGTCAGTATAAATTAATATAACTGCTTCAGTCCAAGATCTACATTAACAGTATGATGAAGATGAAACCAGGGTGGACATTTCAGCAAGACAAATAAAGCTGTAAGAAAATAAAGTTGTATAATAGCCCAGCCAATCGACTGACTTGAATCTAATAGGAAATACAAAATAAAGGTCAGATCTGATAATGTTGAGCCCCTAAGAACCATCAAGATTTTTACACTCTGTTGAAGTCTATGAAAAAAACTCACACCATGTGATTTCATTATCCACATGAGAGGCATCTTTAAGTTTCCATCACATTTTCTATAAATTCTAAAATACATTTCAGTAGTTCAGTATTTTCTCCTTGTGTCTTTCTGTTTTATTATACATAACTAGTTTTTCAGATTTTTTTTTTGTTTGTTTGTTTTTTTTTTATGTTTGTATTGTTTTGGTTTTTACCAAAATCTGGTTTAATTTCATGTCGACAGGAAAAAAACATGGCGTGTAAAATACTTCTTACCTACATGGTGCATTATGTATATGCACATTAGGTATTTATAATACTATATATTTATATTAATTTACATAGTAGTTTTTGTGTTTTTGAATTTCAATCAAGTTGTTACTTAAAGTCTTTGATTTAACTTTTTACACTCTGAAAACCCTGCAAGGGGCTTATAACTGCAGGGATATGGTGGCATTGTTGGCAAACACAGCTAGAGAGATTGTATAAAGTGCTACACACCAGAAATGAACTGAGGACACTGTGCTACAACAAAGCACAAGGGAATTATCAATTATTCATAAACAGACTCTGCAAATGTCCAAAGCATTAATATCTTTCTTTTAGCTTGGAGTCATGCATAGAGATGCAGGAACATTAAAATAGTGGCCTGTATGTTGCATAAAACTTTCAGAATTCACCGTTTAGCAGTCAGCTCATAAAATATTAGAATGAGGGGGAAAAGAGGGTTGCGTGCTTTTCATATCTTTATATACATGTCCGATTTAATTTGCCAGCACGGACCTACAAACAGCTGAATGACTGATCTGAGTTTCTTCTCTCCACAGACACATGCTACGTTCTCTCGTTCTCCGTAATCATGTTGAACACCAGCCTGCACAATCCTAACGTCAGAGACAAGCCCTCAGTGGAGAGGTTCATCTCCATGAATCGAGGCATCAATGAAGGAGGAGATCTGCCTGAGGAGCTGCTCAGAGTGAGTCTTTGCCTCATACTGAGATACAGAGAGCCGAACACTCCTCAGTAAGGCTGTGTGTCCACCAAGGCTGTTTTTGATAGGAGCAGTGCTTGTTCAAAAGCATTTTTTTTCTGGTCACCAATACTTGAATAGGGCTCTATGATCTCTATGATTTAAAAAACATGGACAGAATAATTAAATCCAGTCATGAAAAATGTAAACAACTGTAAAAAGCAGAAATGAGTACATATTGGAACATATCTAATCTTGGGGCTGTCCAATCCTGGTTCTGGAGAGCTAATAACTAACAAAAGTGATAAAATTGTTATGTAGTTACACAAAATCATTAGAAATATAGAGATTTAATTTTTTTTACACAAAACTCTTCATTATTTGCTCTTCATTATGTTTATGCAGATTGCAGTGTCACTCTCTATACTTTAGTGCAGCGCAAACACTAAGCAACTACTTAATTTGCCAAAAAACTGCACTTCAGAGCGGAGATCATTAATATTCATGACCAATCTAAATATGGTCAATATGAACCTTCTGATTCTAGGGGCATTTTATGGAGTAATAGATGAGCATGTCAAACCGTTTCTGGATTTATTTTACTTACCTAAGCCATGAACACTCACTGGTCACTTATAGAGACCACCTATCATTATATACTGGTCACTTATAGAGACCACCTATCACCTAACATTATCACTTATAGGTACACCTATCTGGTAGCAGGTTGGACCCCTTTTTGCCTTCAGAAATGCCTTAATCCTTCGTGGCATAGATTCAACCAGGTACTTGAGGTAACATTCCTCAGAGATTTTGGTCCATATTGACAAGATAGCATCACGCAGTTGCTGCAGATTTGTCAGCTGCCCGTCCATGATGCAAATCTGCCATTCCACCACATCCCAAGGGTGCTCTATTGGATTGAGATCTGGTGACTGTGGAGGCCATTTGAGTACAGTGAACTCACTGGCATGTTCAAGAAACCAGACTGAGATGATTCACGCTTTATGACACGGCGTGTTATTCTGCTGGAAGTAATCATCTGAAGATGGGTAAACTGTAGTCATGAAGGCATGGACATAGTCAGTAACAATATTCAGGTAGGCTGTGGCGTTGACATGATGCTCAATTGGTAGTAATAGGCCCAAAGTGTGCCAAGAAAATATCCCCTACACCATTAAACTACCAGCATGAACCATTGAAACATGGCAGGATGGATCCATGCTTTAATTTTGTTGATGCCAAATTCTGACCCTACTATCCAATTGCCTCAGCACAAATCAAGACTCATCAAACCAGGCAACGTTTTTCCAATCTTCTATTGTCCAATTTTGGTGAGCCTGTGTGAATTGTAGCCTCAGTTTCCTGTGTTTAGCTGACAGGAGTGGCACCCAGTGTAGTCTTCTGCTGCTGTAGCCCATCTGACTCAAGGTTGGACGTGTTGTGTGTTCAAAGATGTTCTTCTGCATACCTTGGTTGTAATGAGTGATTATTTGGGTTACTGTTGCCTTTCTATCAACACAAACCAGTCTGGCCATTCTCCTCTGGCATCAACAAGGCATTTGTGCCCACAGAACTGCCACTCACTGGACATTTTCTCTTTTTCGGACCATTCTCTGTAAACCCTAGAGATGGTTGTGCTTGAAAATCCCAGTAGATCAGCAGTTTCTGAAATACTCAGACCAGCCTGACTGGCACCACCAACCATGCCACGTTCAAAGTCACTTAAATCATCTTTCTTCCCCACTCTGATGCTTGCTTTGCTACATGCCTAAATCCATTAAGTGCTTGCCATGTGATTGGCTGAGATTTGCGTTGGACAGGTGTACCTAATAAAGTGGCCGGTGAGTGTATATCTGCTATTTAGATATCAAAGAACAATTGAACTTCTTAAGCCAATGCAGTATATGGTACATTTAATCATTAAGTCAACCCAAAACAAGTATCCTTCTGGAGCTCCTCTATAGGACTCAAGACTTGTTAAACACTTGCAGAAAAGTCTGAACATAACAACTGAAAATGTAATACATGAAAATGTGAACAGAATTTGGAAAAAAATGTAATGGAATTTGGTAGAAAAAGTTGATTTAGTTTGTGGCAACAAATAACCCAATCAACACAGCATTTATGTAACAAGTTTTACAACATCAACAAGCACAGTGTTGCCATTTTGTTATCTGAAATCATCTATAACAATATTGTGGATTTTAAATATCATAGTAGCTATAGTTTCTCAAAAGCAAACAAAGGTCGTGTGAATTTTCAGCTGTCTGAAATTGCTTTGATGAATACAAAGTTTTCGATATTTAATGTCAGATTATGCACATTAATAATGATTTTTCTTTTTTAGAATTTATATGAAAGCATTAAAAATGAGCCCTTCAAAATTCCTGAAGATGATGGGAACGATCTAACTCACACCTTCTTTAATCCAGACCGAGAGGGATGGCTGCTAAAACTAGGTTGGTCATCTTTCTGTTATTAAGTTCTCTTTTTGGTCATGCTTTTTTTTCATGGTTTCAAGATCACCGATTTTAATCTGGTATTATCCAAAACCTCACTTAATAACTGTTAGTTACATTATGACCTATAAAGCAGATTTTTTGTATATTTAAAGAAATTAAAGAGCTTTCAAATTATTATTATTATTTTTTATGTGTGTTGATCGGGATTACATGGATGGATAATGTTGTTATTAGCAGACCACTAAAGCTTTTATAGCATTTTTTAATAAAGACCCTTTAATATCCATAAAATCTTTTGGTAAGTGTTTGATGCTGTGAGGCGGGGACTGCTAATTCCATGTAATGCCATGATTTATTTACAGTACAAAGTTTCTGAACTATTTAAGCACATTTCTAATATTGAATTTTGTATCTATAAACTTGCAGGGGGAAGAGTGAAAACCTGGAAGAGGAGGTGGTTCATTTTGACAGACAACTGTCTGTATTACTTTGAATATACTACAGTAAGTTGAACTGTTCAATATTTCCTGTTTTAGCCAATAAATATGTTCAGGATTAAAATGATGTAGTAAGATATGAGTGAAAGGAAGAAAGGAGGTCATACAGAAGAGGAAGCCAGAGAGAAAAAGTGTGAATCGCAAAGATTTGATCAGTTCAGACATTTTTGCCTTAACAGTAAGACTAAACAAGTACATCATTAGCAGTTCTTTGTTTATTTAAATGGTTAATTTAGATATAACAAGCCCATAAAGTGTACTTTCTTTCCTTTTTTAATTTTAAATGTTTTGACCAGACATAACTGTAATTTTTTTTCAACAATTAGTCTTAATTTAGTTACTCCTCTGTATTTTTTTATGCGTTTTGCTAGTCAGTTTCAGCTGATATTAATGTGTGGGACATTCTCATTTTACATAACAATTTTCAATGGACAAAATTTTGTGTGGTGCAGGATGAGTCATCAGTAAGCGTTACATTAAGCACAACAGGAGTCCATGCTGACCCATTTCCTAATATCTATGTCATTTTTTTTTTTTTACTCAACTTTTACCTTGGCACAATTTACACAAAAGTGTTTCTGAAATGTTTACACATAAAAACATGTAAACAACAGCATCTCTTGCAAAAGCAAGTGCTTATTTCAAAACAACTATAATGCTGTTTTTCTCTGTATAGGAACTGCACACAGTCCTTAAATAATATCTGCCCACCAAACTGCACACATATATGATCATAATGTTTAGCTTTCTAACTGATTGAAATAGGTATACTTACACTAAACAAAGATCTACAAGGGCATAAATGATCATTTATTGCTCAAAATATTGAACTTTTTTTGTGAGCAGTTTATTTTGGGTGACGTGTCTTGGAAGAAGTTTATTTTGCAAAGAAAATCTGAATGTTCAGCAAATTCTGTGCTTGTAGTTTTGCAGACTTGGTCTAAAGATTATGAGTGAAGGTGTATGAGTGTATGAGTGTGCTTCAAATACAACTAAGTACTACTTAAAAAGCCATGAAACAATCAAGTGTATCAAATTATTTGCCAGATTTTTAGTTTGTCGACTTTAATTGCAGTTTGCCACTTCCACTTTCATTTAGGAACATTTCATGCATGCTCCCCGTGACAAACAAGTTATTGGATGCGGGGAATTGCTGAAAGAGTGTAGTTTTAATGAAATGTTTGATACCGCATGGCGAATGGGATTCCGCATTTCTCTGTAACTTAGATGTACTTGCTTAGATGTACTCTGTATTTAGCGTCAGAAAGCCATGTGTGTATAGACTATCCTGTCACAAAATGCTGCGAAAATTCTACCTGATAATATTAGTTTGATTAAGTTGTTTACATGTTTACATTCGGAGCATTTACAGCAGATCTTTCAGTCAATAATATTGTAGTAATATTAATATACTGTAAAGTTAATAACTAAATCATTTTGACTAAGATATGTCTTTAAAAACTGAAAGAGTACTGCTGACTATACCAACTTACTTTGCCTCTGAATAAACATAAGCAAAAAACATTGATCACACACTTACCAAATCTACTTGCAAGTAGATAAGCAAGACTGTAACTTTTAATTTAAAACTACCAAAAACTCTGTTGGAACATTAATTTCATTCTTACTGGCTTTTCATCCTACAGTTTGTCAGTCAAAAATCAAAGACCTAAAACACTTCACAAAACAAGAACAACATTCTGTTTAAATTAGCATATAGAAGTTTGTTACATTAAATTTACATTACAAGTACAAAATGATTCATAAATTGACTCCTAAAAGCTACATATAATTGTTCTGAAATATTTATTTTTTTGTATATTTTGAACTTATTTCATTATGACATTTCAGTAGCACTTTATTTTGGTGGTTGCTATTGCACATTTTGATATCTAAAGGTTGCAATGGAACTACATGCCAATTACTTCTCATTTATTATTATTAGTTTAGTATTAGTAGAATGTCTGCATAATAGCTGTTAATACTGTTTCTTCAACATACATTTAACTGACTATAAGATATTTTACAAGAACATTTCAACTTACTCTAACCTTAACCCCAACCTAACAGTCTACTTATAATCTAATGAGAATTAGTTGGCATGTAAATGCAATGTAACTTAAATTCAACAAAATGCGTTAAAGGGACTGTCAAAAAAAAAAAAAATGATACCGACATTTCTGTAGAAATAGAAAAGTTAGAGAGGATAGTTTTTTTTTTTTAAATGAAATGTTATCAAAGAAAACGTTAAAGCTTTTTTAGGTATTAGTTTGTTGTTTTAATAATTATATTGCAATTATAAGTTGCACATTTTGAAGGGGGATGGAAATGCACTTAGTGTGATGATAAAAAATTATTGTGAAACATTTGCTTTGAAACTATATTAACTATATGAGACAAGTTTATGTCAAGCTAAAAGCTAGTTAGAACTTTGTAAAAAGAGATTTAAAAAGCAAAACAAAATGAAAGACAGAGAAAGAGAGCGCTGGGTTTTAGCTGGTTTATTTTAATAGCCGTTATAAGAAATATGTGAATATATTTAAAATAGTGAAAAACAAAAGTAAAAAATGGGTTCCATATGAAGACTTTGAATAGTTTTATTGCAAATACTTTTTGATTGTGCCAGTAACTGCTGTGTCAAGATGAAAGTTGGTTATGAGAAGAGAGTGGGAAAAAAATAGGAAATGGGTCCTAGCAATTGTGAGCAACTGTAAATGAGTATTCACAGGAAATGTATTTTATACACTAGCATATTACATGACCTCAATGTGCGCACACAGACTAAAATCTAAAAAACACTCAAAGCAACAACCACCCCGCTGTGCCATCTCATCAGCAAAGTGGAAGGAAATAATGTTTTTTTTTTTCATTTTCCTCTAGCAGTGTGCCAGATTTAGACTTAGAGGCAGACAGTTGCTTAATGTGCACATAGTTAGTTCCCTCTCTTTTTTAATCATCCTTTTCCATAAATCCCCATCCTCCACATCGCATTTATGGAAGCATATTGCAGATTAAGTCCTAATTGCTTTAATACCAAATAAACACGTTGGATTAAGTGTCTGTCACTCTTGTGTTCATAGGACAAAGAGCCTCGGGGAATCATTCCACTGGAAAATCTTAGTATAAGAGAGGTGGAAGAGCCAAGAAAACCAGTATGTGACTTTTCAAACTTTTAGTTAAAGCTGCAGTCCTTGAAGTTTTGGTTAAAAATGACTTGAAGTTCATTTTTGAGTATGTGCATATTAGCTCTTCTTCACAGTTAAACCAGCCGCCATGTGTCAACCTACTTAACCAGCATATGCTGTTTACAGCCTTTAAACAAAGCAGCTGGAAGAAATGGCAGATTTTAAAGGACAACAAGTTCGAATGAACTTTAATGAGCTTTTTATGTTACAGGAGTAATTTGCTTATGAAATTTGAATGTTAAGACAATTTTTAGACTGTATAGATATTGAAATTGAAATACACAGCAAATTCATCTGAGTTAAATTCTCGGTGTTGAAGCATTTCAGAGTAAAGTGTTGACGTTAAAGAGTTAGATTTTGATAAATGAATATAATAAGAGTTAGAATTGATTTTATTCAGTGCGAAATCAAGGAGTTATCTTTTCAACACTTGGTGGTGTTATTTCCAACATCCGGGAATTCATGCAGCCCCAGTCACTGAAGAATTTTCCAGACGCCATTTTCCATCTGAGGTTTAGAACAGCAACTGGTGAGTCAAACTACCTAAATTTAGGTATTTTACTGACTTTCTTTAAGGAAATACAGTTGTAAACATATTGTTAAGTTAATAACTTTAGAATGGAGTGACAATTTTAATCTTCTGCTGTTCATTCATGGTCGTTTGTGTATCTAGCTTAACTGCATTACTCACTTCTTTTCAAGAATGTTTTTATATATGCTCACGCATACATAGTGCATAAAAACATCAAATGTACATGTTCAACACATTTCTGTCACGCTTAATGCCATTTTGTGCGTTGTTACCCATCTGTAAAATAAAATCGACACTTCTCCTTTAATTCGAAGCAAACTAGCGAGGGAATCCCCGGAGCAGCCTAGCCTACTCTGCCCGGATGCTAACGGCAACACAGGACGGTTTCCATAAGCTCTGGAGAGTTTCTAAAACATATCTGGTGAGTAAATGAACATATGCTTACTTGTAAAAGGCTTCCTGACTAAAACATATGATTGTTTTTTATTCGTGTACGTTAATTTGGTTATTTTAAACACCGCGGCCCTTTTAAACTGGTTCATTCGTGGCCGTCCATATACCGTTAGTTCATAGACTCGCGTGATAACGTACGCTTGAAATATATTAAGCGTTGACAACCATTAAAGTCGGAATGTTAACATTAATGTCTTTAAATGACCGCGTTTGCACTTTCTCAGACATTTAAGGTTACCGAAGTCTCCCGGAAGTTGCGGGACTAACGTTAACGTTATCTTGCAAATGCACAGAGACTCCCAGATGCCCAAGTAACTTAGATGCCCGCAAATGAATGATAATCTCCCGGAAATCGCGCGTCTCCCGCCCGGTCATTAAACACTTTGCACAGCCCTCTCCACCGCATCCCTCCCAGCTCTTCAGGTACGTCGCGCGCAAGTCACCCCCACCGCTCTTCAGGTACGTCGCGCGCAACTCATCCCATTGCTCTTCAGGTTCTCATCTCTCCCGCTACCTCACGCAAATCAACTCTGTATCCCCCGAAAATTACTTTTTCCAACTCGGGATGTCTGACGTTAGTAAGTTAGGCTATTTATGTAGTCAGGAACATCTTAGTCAAGCTTTTTCTCCCGCATGATATTGTGCTTAAAACTATAGGCTAAACTTAGCATGTACTGTACACAACATTTCCTTTTTATTAAAGACAATTTAGTGCGTTGTAAACAGCCACCTGTCTGTAAAATTAATCAACTGATTCATATTTGAGCAGCCTAATGATGATACAGGTTTGATTTGTAGATTTATTATCAATAATCAACATCTGAATCAAAAGATATCTGAAAAAGTGTGAGGCATACTTTGTGATGTTCATCTCTCCTTTTTATCTGAAGGTTATGCATATGTGTTAGATACTAATTTTTTTTTTTTTTTTAACAGCCACAGTTCTCTATACAATAACACAAGACCCTGTGACGGTGGCTGATTAGAGACGGATGGTGTATTTCCAGAGTTGGTGAAATGACCAAGCACACCTTCTTGGTCATATGTGGTGATAATAATGAAGGTATGTTTGATAAAGTTCTGTATTTGTTCAACATAAGCTGAGAGGGTATTAGAGCATTAGAGAATAACAAATGACATGAAGGTGATAAGTTTTGTATTGTGGGTGAACTGTTACTTAAATAATGTTTTGCTCTTTGCTTTGCACTTTTCCTCTTCTGCTTATCCTAATATTTTAGATTATATTTGGACCTGAAACATCTGCTAGACTCCAGGAAAGGTGGCGTCAATACTGGACCTGAAAGGGCCTAACAAGTTGAATCAGGTAAAGAAACATGCACGCACGCACGCACACGCTTACAGAAAACTATTGTTTATGAAGTTTATGAATATTTTTTACACTGTGGCCAATATTTTGGGAAAGTCAGCATCACTAAATGATATAAAAGATTTTAAGCTCCTCTAAATTTTGCTCCAAGTGTTGTGTTAAATTCAGGATTCTGGACAGACAGCTGCCTGTTTTTCCAGTTCTAGTCATAGTGGTTAACCTAATTGTTTTTGGAGATCCAACAGTGATGTATGTGTTTTTTCTACTTTTCCATATCCTGTCACCTCAACCAGCTGGGAGAGTCAAGTTGTGGATCATCATGTAGATTTTCAAAAGGTGAGTTTAGATTTCTTGAATGTTTTATTTACTTTAAATGTTCTTTTAAATATATCATAGAATTTAATTGCAATTTGTTTTTTAAACATTTTTCTTAGTCATGCTGGAGTCTTGAAGAGTTCTTAGATGAGCATCACCCTATATCCGTGCATCAGGAACCACCAGACGAGCGATCAGCAGCTGCTACATCGTCATGGATAAAAAGGTCATCCTGTGGCTGGGAAGCACTTCATTCACAGGACATGCTTGATGAGATTTCCTAGCTCCAGTTTGTTTTCACACAAGTTTACAGCATTTATACCTTCATTTAAACTGCTGTGTTTGATATGGAGGACCAAGGAAACACCCGAAGTGAAAGATTTGCACGCCAAGTTGTTTAAAATGTAATTTCACAAGAAAACTATGCGTTCAGAAGTAAACTATGAGTGACGCTATATTGAACTTTCAAATTGCTCTGATAACACATCAAGTTTGGACCAAAGGACTGAAACAGCCTTTTTGAGCACTGGTCATAAATATTTTGTTGATACTGTCTGTACTAATAAAACATTTAAAGAATATTTGACATTGTTGCATTTTAAAAACTGAATGAATTGTTGAAGTGGTGAATGTTTTCAAATAAAATGAAAGGTCTATTTGACCTTTTTACCATATTTACACTCAAGAGAGTTGAATAAAATAACAATATATTACACCAGGCGGTGTTAAATATAGTTAAATTTTTTAACTCTGCCCAGAGTTAAAATTAACCCTTACTTCGGTGTCAATGTGCCAACCCTTTTGAAAGTGTTGATTTAACAATGTTTTGAGTGGACCCCATGAGACACTTTCAAAGTGTTGAAATTAACACCCATAGAGTTGTTTTGGGTCCCCATATTTTGCTGTGTACTTATGCATAAACTTCACACAGTGTTGATATTGCTGATAAGCCATCCCATATTTATGAAAAAAATAGATCCTAACAAAAAAATATATAAAGAAAATAGTTATAAATAATTGCGCTGATTGTGATGTAATTTAAGCTAATTGGGCAATCGTTAGAATTATTCACCATCAGTACTCTAAAAAGTCAAAGCTTCAATATGTTATACCTAAACAAATAATATTTTACTTAATTCATCAAGTTGAGGGAAAGCATGGGGGCGCAGTGGGTAGCACAATATACTCACAGCAAGAAGGTTGCTGGTTCAAGCCTCGGCTGGGTCAGTTGCCGTTTTTGTGTGGAGTTTGCATGTTCTCCACGTGTTCGCTTGGGTTTCCTCCGGGGGTTCCGCTTTCCCCCACAAGTCTAAAGACATACGGTACAAGTGAATTGAGTAGGCTAAATTGTCCGTAGTGTATGAGTGTGAATGGGTGTGTATGGATGTTTCCCAGTGATGGGTTGCAGCTAGAAGGGCATCCGCGGCATAAAACATGTGCTGGATAAGTTGGCATTTCATTTCGCTGTTGTGACCCCAGATTAGTAAATGGACTATGCCGAAAAGAAAATGAATGAATGAATGAATGATTAAGTTGAAAAAACTCTAGGTTTAGTTGAAGTAATCCCGAGTTCAGATTTGGAATTTGATCAAATGTTTGATAAATCAAATGCCTCTGATTACGACAATTTGTCGGTTATTTCACTAAACATGCCTGCAAGTGAAAATCTGTGCTAAAATCGTCATTTTGATCCATTTATTTGTTGTTGTTGTAAAAATGGATCCATTTATTTGTTTTGTTTTCTATTGTCATGATCTCCCCATATCCCCCCTCTGTTGGTCAGAGCAGGGATGGCAAGCCAATTTTAGGGATTGCAGCTTTAAACTTTAATCAAGATGATTTCTAAATTTAGTCCTCTTGTTAGTCAGAAATAAATGAAAAATTAAAAGTGACTATTTCACGCTTTGACCTTTCAGAACTGCTTTGAGCTCTACAACCCGAGTCATAAGGGCCAGGTAATTAAAGCATGCAAGACGGAGGCTGATGGGAAAGTAGTGGAGGGGAATCACGTGGTGTACAGAATATCAGCACCCACGCCGGAGGAGAAAGAAGAGTGGATCAAATCCATCAAGTAAGGCTTCACGGTGTCAGCCCTCATTATTCTCTTCTCAGATAAGTGGTGTGTGTGGGCTGTAGGTCATACACACACACAAACCCACAGATGCTCAGAAAGGAGCACAGACTCTTCTTATCATAAAACATCATGCTGATAAGAGAAAGCGGGTGTTTTAGATCTTGTCTATGCAATGGAAAATATTTATGCCTCGTTTTCCATTAACAATATATGAACTTCTTTAAAACATGATTAGTTTACATTAAATATTAAAGGGGGGATATTGTATACACATGTTTGCAAGATGTATTATAAGACTCAAGTGTTCCCTAAATGTGTCTGTGAGTTTTGGGCTAAAAATACCTCATGGCTCATTCATTATATCTTGAGTTAATACCCTCATTTTAAACGGACATCTTGCTTTATTGTGTCTCTCTTTAAATGCAAACCATTCCCACATTGCAAAATCTTTCTGGCCCAGCACTGGCCCACACAATTAGGTTTTGCTTGGCCCACATGCTAGTGTTACGGTACATGACTGGACCAAGTCTAGCTTCCAGACAAGGGCCAAACATGGACTATATCTGGGCCAAGTCTCAGCCAAGTTATTAACTCGTAACTGGGCCTGAATTGGTTTATGGAATATTGCTATGAAATTAATAAACCCATGAAGCACTGTGCTGGGCACACTATGGGCATCCTTTGTTTCAAAGCGACCAGAGTGGTAGAATTTTTTTTTTAATTATTTTAAACATAGGTCAAGAAAGGCCAAACTTACAGGGCCCACATATCAAATTTTAACATTTGCCACCTATAAGACGGTGCCACCGCTGCCAAACCCTGGCTGTGTTTGGCCTACATGCTGTATGCCAGTGCTGGAAAAAAGCCTGCTGTGCCAGCTTTATGCCAGATCTGGGCCAGATATTTGCTACCTGGGTTTGCTCATCTCCAATCCACTCTCTTGGAGAACAAAAAGCAAAACATTTGTTTTGGATTTAACATTTTGATGTCTATCAAAGCCATGCAGACAAAACATTGCAGTTCTTTATCATAAAAACATATTTTCAAGCCTTATCAGTTTAATTTTCTGATATGCAGTTTTCTGACTGCACATGCTGGATTGTCGTCGAAAATACGGTTCCAAAATCTATTCCAATTCTAAAATCAGATATGAAAGATTAAGCATATTTTTGTTTCAAAATTAACATTTTGTTTTCATTTGTTAATTTTGCAGCCACATTATTTAAGCACTTGACTGGGTTATCTTAAATTACCAATCTCAAATTTTTGGCACAGTAAGATCTGGCTATTGCGGCTATGAGCCTAAAGTGGCCCAGAGAAAATGTGGCCCAGTTATCCTAAAACAAATGTGGACAACTTTTGGCAAATATTCAGCACAGTTAGCTCTGGCAAATGTGGATTTGAGCCTAATGTGGCCTAGAGAAGATATTGCAAATGTGGCCCAGTTATCTTAAAACATATGTGGACCACATAGACCAGGGGTGCTCAGTCCTGTTCCTGGAGATCTACCTTCCTGCAGATTTCAGCTCTAACCCTAATCAAACACAACTGAACTAATTAATTACGACCTGAACAGTACTTGATAATTACAGGCAGGTGTGTTTGATCAGGGTTGGAGGGGAACTTGCAGGAAGGTAGATCTCCAGGAATAGGATTAAGCACCCATGACACAGACTAAAGTCATTATCATGGAGAAAAGTGTTTGCTTTAGTTGGGCTCATAGCCCTGAACCTCTAAATAAACATTTTCTTTGCTTGAAAAGTTTATTCATTGCAGCAAACAAGCCAAGTTAAAAAGCATTAAAAATTAAGTGAGGCACAACCTGTGATGAAATGATATAATTCACTTATGTTAACCAAAGTTTAATCTATTATTAAAATTAACTAAAAATATGCTTGCACATGCCAGAGAATTATGAAGGTTTATAAGCTAAAAAAAATTCTACATTTCAACTTCTGCTAACAGAGACATCAATAATCAGCCTATGAACCTCAACAATGGTGACTATTAACAAAATGAACAAAACTCACAAATATCAAAAACAGGAGACTAAAAGTGACAAAATCAACAACGTCAACATAACAGCAGAATCAACAGCAAATAATAAAAACTGGAGCATTAATAAGCTATAGAATGTATTCATACTGCAATGCATGCTGGGGTTTTTGTACTTTGCCACACCCAGCAAGTGTAAGGTTTAGGCCAGATCTGGGCCAGAATAAAAGCAAACTGTGGCCCAGAATAGGGTCAGTTCTGGTACATTTGGTTGAATTCTGGCTAATATGTGGTATTTCTTTGGCTTATTTGTGGCTTAGATCTGTCAAACAGGAGTGAACCACCCAACTGCCATCATTCTATGCGGTATGTGGGCCAGATTTGAGCCACAAGAATTTTGCTAGCTGGGGATCATTCATGCTAACATGTGGAATGGGCTCTATGCACAGCTAGAGTTTTAAAGCTAACGATAAACTTCCGGTGAAAGCTTAATGTGACTTTTCAATTCCACAAGGTTGTTTTTACAGCATCGATGTTGTAATGCAATTACAGCACATTCAGTTAAATAGACTTAGGCATTAATTTAATTGTTCAAGCGTAAAACGAGACGACAGACCGTTGTAAACGCTAGCGCCGTCAGCAGCAACAGCCAAATACTGAGGTGAAATAAACTGTCATATTTTAAAGACATGTCAGGGCGAATGAAATTTAATGCAGTACTTCTTGTCCCATCTGAGACTCACTTTATATCATGTATTTAATATGCAGTGAAGATCGCTGATTTTTTAAGAAATCAGATTTTGAACAACAATTTTGTGATGAAAAGACAGTTCACTGGAAGCTCTTGGGCTGCCTGGCCTAAAATTAAAACTCTGTGTGCATATACTGTAGACCATTTGGTTTCTGTCACATTCATGGAATAACAAACAAAGTCAGATGGATCCAAGTCCAAGTGAGCCTAAAGTCAATAAAACAAGGTGCAAACAAGTTCAACAAATCCAGCGTCGAGGTTAGGGATAATCACAGAATCAAGAAACAAAGATCTTGACAAGACACAGCAAGATCACGAACAAGTAATAGTGTACTGATAATGAAGCACCAAACTTTCGCTTCTTAAATAGGTGGGGCTAAGGACAAACAGCTGGGGCTGCTAATTAGAACAGCTGATCCATGTTTAGCGAGTTCATGTGATCTTAACACATACACACAACAAAAGCACATTGAGGAATGCAAAACAAACCCACGTGACAACAACAAACATGATAGAACCGTGACAGGTTCATTGTTGATAGTAAGGTTTCCATCCTAGGTGAATCTTTTCAAAGTTTGCAAAAAAGAAAAAGATTACAAGTGCAATTTAGGTGCATTTCCATGTAGTTAATAGAGTGGTTGTAGTATTGGTAACCTAGTAACCAGCAGTAAACATGGCAAGCACATCAGAGAAAAGGAAGCAGTTAAAATTGGCCAATAGGGAATTGTGCAGCTTGCAATTCTCCTACTAAAAATAATGCTGTACACAGAAGAAGAAATCTTGACTCATGAATGCCCTGGCTTCAATGTCTGCAGGATTTTTGGTATGTCCTAGTGACCAGACATAGATATTTATATTTGATGTCGCCTAACTTTTGTTGTCTACTGGAAGGAAAACGTCAATAGAGCCGCTATTGTAGGTCAGAGTAGTGCTCCTTTGAAATGAATGTAAAACGTTCAAGGTTACAAAAGTAACCCTTCGTTCCCCGAGGATTTGAGTTCTAAATCCACGTATGGGAGATTCGGTTCAGAAGCTACTTGTCTGAAAGAGTATTGAACAGGCCAATGAAAGCAATGAATTGGCAGCGCAAGCTTGCGCAGGTGTGCTGCATCGCCAATTAACTGAGCATATAAGCACACCTGGCGCCAGCAAACGCCATCCTTTTTAAGCTGAAGAGACTTTTAACAGCTAAAGGACAGTCATTATGGCGACGGAGTATAGCACTTCCGTTCCCCTCCTCGGGGAACGAAGGGTTACTTCTGTAACCTCGAACGTTCCCCTTCGGTCGGGGAACTCCAGTGCTATAAGTGGATTTGAGTTCTAAATCCACGTATGGGAGTCCATTGAAAGTGTCATAATGACTGCACCTTACCAACGCCTCCGATGAGAGGGCAGTCAGGCAAGCGTGACGCACCCAAATCATGGAAGGCGCGGTCCTCCAACGTGCCCTTGGCCCTAACTTATCCCCACTTCAAAAGAAGCTTTACGGAATAGGTATTTTTTTGGGGAGTCGCTAGCGTCTAGATTCTAGTTCTAGGAAAATACGACAGTACGTTGGGAAGCGTGCAATCCCGGTGGGGAGAATGCTGCGGAGACCATCCGCACCCAATAAGGAGACAAATGGAATTACATATGGACTAACCCTAAGGAGGGGGAGTGCTTATAAGAAGGTGGTAGCGGATAGGGAAGGCACGGGTCCACCCAGGGGGGGGACTTAACCGTGGCGGAAAAAGCATATGGGGATCACCAGCGGGGATCGCACATATCAGGCACCTATACCCAAAAATGCGGGCTGACCAGCGGGTAGACCTAACGTAGTGGGCCAGCGAGTGACTCCTCCGCTGAGTCAGTGCTGGGAGCCTCGGAGGAATCTGCAGGGTTCACCGAATAAGGAACTGTACTGACAGACAGGAAGGTGCACATCTCTCCGTGTTAGGGAAAAAAGGCACCGCAAGCGTGCTACAACACCCTACCGAGTTGTTTCCTCAATCACCAAAGGTACCTAACACCCTTGAGGAAACCGGCTCCACTCGCAGATTGTAAAACCTTGCAAATGTGTTGGGTGTCGCCCAGCCCGCAGCTCTACAAATGTCTGTTGAAGAGGCGCCGCGTGCACACGCCCAAGAGGATGCAACGCTCCAAGTGGAGTGCGCACGCACTCCCGGGGGACGCGGCTGACCTCTGCTCAAATAAGCACATGAAAGGGCCTTTACAATCCAGTGGGATAATCTTTGTTTGGACACGGCACTTT